AAGAGACTGAGTTGATACTCTATGGTGGTGAATTTTATAATGGCCAGAAGGTTAGGCTCTCAAAATTTGTCTTGTGTAGTTTTTATTCACTCTGCCTAATCATGTAATAAAAAATCTATTCTTTTTAATGTAAATGCAGACATATGTATATGGTGATCTCTACCGATATGATGTGGATAAGCAGGAGTGGAAGTTAATTTCAAGCCCGAACAGTCCACCTCCTCGCAGCTCTCATCAGGCGGTTGCTTGGAAGAATAATCTCTACATATTTGGTAGATTAAAGACGTTTTAGATATTTCTTACATCCTCATTCCTTTCGGTCCGTATTTGTAAACCTTTCTTTTCTTCTCTTGATTAGGTGGTGAATTTACATCTCCAAATCAAGAGCGGTTCCATCACTACAAGGTAAGAGTAGTGTATATCTAATATATGTGTGTTTGCCAGTCTATTACTATTTTGTTTTCTTATGTATAAGCGTGGGTTTGATTTACAGGACTTTTGGATGCTGGATGTGAAAACTAACCAATGGGAACAGATAAACTTGAAGGGATGTCCTAGTCCACGTTCTGGTCATCGTATGGTGAGTCTTTGATCTTAAAAGTTAGCAATGTATGTCTCTTATATGTTGCTGGAATAAGTAGTTAGAGCCCGAGTTTGAATATACATTTCCTCTAGCAGATAGAAGAGAATGTCCTGAAGTTTTTGTCAGTACATTATCCATTGACCAAACAGAGAGAAATACTAGATATTGAAGACTATATAGATTAATTCTTCACACTTTGTCATGTAGTTTATATATCAAGGGTGGGAATCTGCAAGATTGTAATTAATCAAGCTCTTATTCTGCTCCGCTCTATCTTACTTTTTCTCCAGGTATTATACAAGCACAAGATCATAATTTTTGGTGGCTTCTACGATACTCTACGTGAAGTAAGGTAGTGATTTACTAATTGCATAAGAATTACTTCAATGTTATCTCTTTTGTTTGTAGTGTTTCTCCTTTTATTACTCCCTGGATCTTCAATTATTTTGGTTTTTTGATATCTGAGAAATCCTTTTACAGTGAAGTAGTAAATGAGAATAGACAATTTAAGCCTTTTCTAGTAGGTTTAGCTGTTTAGGAGTGAAATGATCATCAATGTGATAGGACATATGTTCTCTAACCTTTGGTTTTGATGTAACATCTTTATACGTTAACATGCACCATCACTGCTCGTTTGCAGGTATTACAATGATCTCTATGTTTTTGACTTGGATCAATACAAGGTAAACCTACCTTCCATGGCACAAGTTTCAGAAGTCTCCGCCCATTTCAACTTTTATTCCTCCCTGAAGCTTTTTCTGCCTTTATTGAATGAATTTTCTTGTCTCTTTGACAGTGGCAAGAAATAAAACCCAAGCCTGGTGCCATATGGCCTACAGCTAGAAGCGGTTTCCAGTTTTTTGTTTATCAAGATGAGGTTAGTTTACGAGATACATGTCTATGTCACATCCCTCGCGTCAAAATTCTGCATTTTTCCCTGAATAAAGTTGATAGAAGACGAGAGATCGGTTTGGCAAAGGTCGAAGCATAGCCATTTACTTATAGAAAAGTCTTTTCCTGCTGCAGATATTCTTATATGGTGGTTATTCAAAAGAAGTCTCATCGGAGAAAAGCTCTGAGAAAGGAATTGTTCATGCAGATTTGTGGTCTCTTGATCCCAGGACCTGGGAATGGAACAAAGTATGTATTTGTTTCATGCACTTATGGAGTTTCTTCTTACACTGTTTCCATGAAAAAAAGTGGTATCACCTGGAGAGTAGTGTCCACACTTATGTTTTGTAATTTTTATCAATCATAAATTTTAACAACCCTGTAGATTTAACTTTTTTTGTTCTTTCTTTGTAACGCAATAAAACTTGATGTACGTAGGTGAAGAAAATTGGGATGCCTCCTAGCTCCCGTGCCTCATTTTCGGTTTGTGTCCACAAAAAGCGTGCTTTGCTGTTTGGTGGTGTCGTGGACATGGAAATGGAAGGTCAGGAAATGGTATCCTTGTATCATTTGTTGTAACATCAGAACCTGTAAGTTGAATTATTATTGACTTCTGTAATTTTTTTTGGCAGGTGATGTAATGATGAGTTTATTCTTGAATGAACTCTATGGCTTCCAGTTAGATAATCGCCGCTGGTAAGCATCCAATAGATGTTCTTGTGAACTTTCTTCTCAAACGTACTTTTCGCTTTTCTAGAGATGCTTAAATATAAGTTAAGTTTCATTAGTTTTCTCATTTTGTATAACTTACTCTCCTTTTCTGTGGAGTATAGGTACCCAATAGAGTTACGGAAAGAAAAATCATCAAAAGATAAGGTATGACTACAAGAGTTTCTGTTAAGTTCTACAGAAAAAGAAAACCATCTTTTGCATCTATTGTTCAACTTAATGGGCCTTATGGTTAAACATTTCAAATAACAGGCAAAGAAGAATTTAGAGACAAAAGCTATGTCATCTAACAATGATGATGAGATGGATTCAGCTGAAGAAGATGAATCGCCAGCCACGGGTGATACAGCAGGCTCTTCTGATGGGATATCCGAACATATGGCAGCAAGTCTAACTGTTGAGGGAAATAGATCTAGTGATGTGTCTGATAAAGGCAAAGGAACCAAAGCTAGACTAGATCCACAAGTTTCTGTCTCAGAAGAGGTTATTCATTTAACATTTGTGTAACTTCCTTTATGAGCTTTGATGCAAAGTTCTAAACCATTGCAATTTTTCTTTTGTGTGTGCAGGTTGTAAAACCATGTGGACGTATTAATTCTTGTATGGTCGTTGGGAAGGATACATTATACATTTATGGTGGCATGATGGAGATAAAAGATAAAGAAGTGACTCTTGATGATTTGTATTCGCTTAATCTTAGCAAACTTGACGAGTGGAAGTGTATCATTCCGGTTTGTTGTTCTACACCAATCTCCATATCTTTAGGTATAAATTGATAAAGACTGTTTAGGCAATGCGTTTCTTGGTATGTTTTTGAAACAGGCGACTGAGACTGAATGGGTGGAAGTGTCAGAGGATGATGAAGGGGACGAAGACGAGGATGAAGATGATAGTGAAGATGAAGGAAACAGTGAAGAGTCTGATGATGAAGATGATGATGAAGAAGTAGAGGTACATATATATGGTTTTAATTTTTTCTCTTCTCTGTCTTGTTGACTTTGAATATGAAGTGAGTCTAATCTTGATTTGGCTATGTGAAAATCTAGGCTATGGATGTTGATGGATCAGTGAAAGTTGGAGAAGTTGTTGCAATGATAAAAGGAGAAGGAAAATCTCTCCGGAGGAAAGAGAAACGAGCTCGGATTGAACAGATTAGAGCTAATCTTGGACTCTCTGATTCACAGAGAACCCCAGTGGTAAGATTGGCTTTTGAGCATTTTTCCGGTTTTCTGTTTGAAGCTTATATATCAACTAATTTGATCATGTTGTTTGTCTTTGAAGCCTGGAGAAACTTTGAAGGATTTCTATAAGCGTACTAATATGTACTGGCAAATGGCTGCCTATGAGCATACCCAACATACCGGCAAGGTACGCTAAGATATGGTTCAATCAAAGCATATAATGACATATTGTAGCAATTTTGAGTCATGACATAATGATCAACATGTGATTGGGCATTGTAGGAACTGCGGAAGGATGGTTTTGATCTTGCAGAAACTCGGTATTTGGAACTCAAACCCATTCTAGATGAGGTAAAACCACATCAGTCTCTCTTTTTTCTTCTTATTATATAGTTTAGAAACTGATTCAAGTTTTGATGTGTGTGATAATAATTGAATGTAAATCTGCAGCTGGCCATACTCGAGGCGGAGCAAAAGGCTGAAGAAGCAGAAGGACCTGAGGCTAGTGGCAGCTCTAGAAAAGGAGGCATTGCAAAGAAGAAGAGATAAAGGTTTTGCAGCTTTAGCAGAAACTTTCATATAATACAGTAAAACTAGGGTTTGACCCGTGCCCGGGGTGATAGTTTCTGAATTTGTATTTTTATTAAAAATTGTTTATTTAAATATTTCGACATTTTATGCGAGAGATTTTTAACCTTTGTTATTCGTTTATAGTATGAAAATTAGGCATTTTAATCCATTTAAAAAAAGAAATAAATTAAAGCATTGATCGTAACCACATATTAAATATGATAGATTTAACCGAGATACATAAAACTCAAATAACTATAATATAATAAGATAGTTTAAAGAAAAAAATTGAAAATAAAACATTATTCTTTAGAAAAATTATACATCATGTATTTCATAAGATAAAAAGTTTTAGCTGTGTGGACACGGATTAGAACTAATTTTTTTCTTTCTTTCAAAACTAAAACATGCTTTATTATAATTTCAAAACAATCCAACCAATCAGAAAATAATATGCAGAATCCAAATTGTCAAAACAGCAAAAATATAATTAATTTTGTATAGAAAGTTGAAACAGATAGAGTAATATTCAAAAGTTTAATCAAAATAAAATATTTATAAAAAGAATTTTTATTCGATTTATTATAGATTTTAATTAAAAAACCATATTAAATGAAAAAAAAAATACATTTGGATACCTACTAAATGAGGTTATATACGAAACAATTTATATTATTTTGTTTTTAAAAATTCAAATCATAACATGTACAGAAAAAGTTTTAGATTTTTTTGATAGATTTTTTATATTGTGATTCAAATTATTTTATTAAATAAATTTAAACAAAGATGATAGAAGATGTATACTGATTTTAAAAGAAATTATTATGATGGAATTAAATTGAATCTCATATCTTCCTTATTTACTAATTTTCGTAGTTGCCAATTAAGGAAAGAGAATGATAAATTTAATTTCATTATTTGGTTGTAAGCATAATATGCAATGACATATATTGTAATTTGTCTAGTAAACTTGTCTTAATTAGAAATTGCTCTAAGAGTGAACCTAGTGATGACACCTAAGCAATGACATTCTTGTTAATAACACATTAGACAATGGAGATGGTGAGTGCTGGGCTCCATTGTTCCTTGAGAATGTCAAGGCAGATGCTGCCATTGCTGTTCACGTTAGGGTGAAACACTTTGGTCCTAAACGCAACCTGCAAGAAGAAGAAACACAGCAACTGAATTCTCCAATAGAGACCAATCATTTGATGATGTTCAATTTTGGTGATAGATGATTGATTCTAAGTACCTTTGGTGGCTTGAAAGGGTAATCCGGAGGGAAGTGGATGGTAACGAGAAAGACTCCGCCTGAGTAAGGACTCTCCGATGGTCCCATGATTGTAGCTTGCCAGTGAAACATGTCTTCAGCAACCGGGCCTTGAAGATTTTCACAATTTGTTCATACAAGACGAAGTCACAAAGTAGAAAGATTAGTCTTTGAAACATCAAAACATCAAAGATTAGGATTTCACTTCATAGAAGTCTCAGTGCGCAATAGCAATATCCTGAGACTTCTTTAACAGAAGAATGCATGAGCAGTTTCAGATTCCCAAAAAGCAAACTAAGCACGTAACACATCCGAATGCAACAGACAAAGACTAAACAGATTTCTACTCAAAACTAGGGAAGAAGAAAGAGCTTTCTACGTTTCCTGAGACTGAAATGGTTTTATGATACAAAGCAAACAAGATCTAGACCTTATTGGTAGGAGCAACTTCGATAAACAAGACAGGACTCAATCATTGATAAGCACCAAGAGCTAAATTCGACGAAAAGTCTCTAACTTTCAATTGCTATCTGCTTAGCTATGAACACAAGATAGATGCAACAACGAATCTAAGATCAGTACCCAGAAGTTTGTTCAAAGAAAAAATATCAACTTTCGATTGCTATATGTGATTATGATCAGTAGAGAATTGCAATTTGGTATCTAGGGTTGGTAGGAAACAAAATCTCAGCTTTTAATTAGGTATCAGTATGATCACTTTGTGGCTGTAACTAGGCTCTTCAAGATCTATAGATAGCTACGCTATGTGGTAAGACACTAAAAAGATCTGATTTTTAGGCTGAAACGAGATTATAAGATCTACAACAGATTCAAACACGAAGGAGAAGAGCTAAGACTAACCAGCACTGCAGGAGGTAGGAGGATCCTTCTGGAGATCCTTGAGCTCTTTCAAGATCCGTTTCGAAGCCATTTCTCACCCTGAACAAACTCCTAGATCCAAAAAAAAATAAACCCTAGATCGATTCAGAAACGCAAACAGATCTCCGAGATAATCAAACCAGAGACAAATCAAGGACGAAATCTCCGATAAAGGAGAGAGCTTTTTACCTCAAAACAGATCCTCCAAGCTCTCGGTATGACGATTCACTCCTGCAGAGATGGTGAGAGAGAGAGAGAGATAAAGCGAGAGCCTTTTGAGACCAAAATAAAAGAAAGAGAATTCCTTAGATATTTATTGCCAGCGATTTTCCAGCCAGCGAGAGAATAATAATTATTATATTAATTATTTTTTAATTTTAAAGATCAGAACCTTCTGGCCCAAACAGAGTCTTAGGTACAGACTTTAAAAGCGGCTTAAACCCCTTTAGGGTTTTTGGATTCCGATCACAAAATCTCCGAAATTGACACAGAGAAGCTCTCAGATTGAAGAATCAATGGCGGCTAAGGGTCCGTTGAAGCTCAAAGTCAAAGGAGGAAAAGGATCAAAGGGATCATCATCTTCCTCCTCCTCGTCGTCTTCATCGAAGTATCAGATGCTCAAGGATTGGACCAACTGGTCGTTGAAGAAAGCCAAGGTCGCGACTCAGTATGGCTTCATCCCTCTCATCATCATCATCGGCATGAACTCCGATCCAAAACCTGATCTTTTTCACCTCCTAACTCCCGTTTAAATCTCCCAGTGTTTCGTTTTGGATCTTCGTTAGTGATTTTGTTCTTGTTTTTTTTTTCTTCCGATATATGAAATGGATTATTCATTCTTTTGTTTTGTTTCTCAATCTATAACTCAAAAAGTCTCAATCTTTGCAAACATAACAAATTGATCTAATGAAAAAGAACATAAATTGCTTTAAAAGGCTATAGATTTTGTGCTCATTCTTCTGCATCAACAGATCGGATCTCTTGAATCAATTTCAAGACTTGAGCTATATGAGGACGTTCTTGTTGCTTCAGATTAACACAAGACAATCCAATCTGCAACATCTCAACCATCTCTTCCTCGAAACCACCGGACTCACTCAAAATCTCCATATCGAAAACCTCACCGGTCCAATCTTTCGCCACCACACACCTTATCCAACCAGCCAAACTCATCTTCTCACCGCCGTGCTCTGTCTCCGAAACCGGCGACTTCCCCGTCAAAAGCTCGAGTAACACCACCCCGAAGCTGTACACATCCGAAAACTGAGTCGCGCTTCTTCTCGTGTCTGCTGTTACCTCAGGCGGGTGGTAACCAAAAGCTTGAGGAAGAGACCTCATGATCGTCGTCAAGCCGAGATCTCCAATGCAGCCATAGCTTTGCGAGTCTAAGAAGATGTTTGAGGACTTGATGTTCCCATGGACGAATCTCCCATTGTTCCCTTCATGGATTTTAGCTAACCCTCTCGCTGCTCCGGTCGCTATTCTCAATCTCGCATCCCAATCTAACGGTACTCTACAATACATTCCTCTGTTTCCTGCAATAAAAATCAAACCTTTAACTGTTTACTCTGTTTTGCTTTTGATAAAAATCAAACCTTTTAACTGTTTACTCTGTTTTGCTTTGATAAAAATCGAAACTTTAATTGTTCATCATCACAAACAGAGCAACTAACTAACTAACTAACCGTGCAACATCTCGAAGAGGCTTCCATGAGTGTAGTAGCTATAAACAGCGAGTTTATCGTCTTTGGAGTAGTAGTAAGCTTTAAGCTCAGCTACATTGCCATGTCTGATCATGCCAATGAGCTCCATTTGCTGCTCGAACTCTCGTCTTCCCACGACGACTTCTTTCAACCGCTTCACCACGACAGTGCTCATGTCCTCCATTGTTACCTTGTAAGTTGTGCCGAAAGCTCCTTTCCCTATAACCTCTGCAGATGAGCTCAGCAGATCATCTAAATCAAAAGAATGGTTTCTTCCTCCGAAGAAGATGATCTTGCCGTTGCCGTTACCGCTACCACCTTCTTCGGTGTTTTGGTCTCTAGATGGAGGAGAAGAAGATGAGTCTCTCTTCCGCAACTTCCCGGAGCAACTCGCCTTCCCGAAACAAGTAATCATAATAAAGGAGATCCCTGACACACCCAAAACGCAAGCTGCGGATAGAATCAGCAAGAAAGCAACTTGGCTTAACCCAAATGGAGTCTTGTGTTGTTGTTGCCTCTCTGTGATGTCATTTCCAGAAAAGGATGAAGCTTGGAATCTCTGAAGAGATTTTGGTATTGTGCCGATGAGCTTATTGTTGGACAAGTTGATTTGCGTCAGCCTTGGAAGATCAAGATCAGGAACCTCACCTGAGAAGGAGTTGTTTGCAAGATTCAAGACTCTAAGGTTAGTCAAACCTGAGAGAGAGGTTGTTGGTATGCTTCCGTTGAAATCATTGTTAGACAGATCAAGAACCTTGAGATTCTTTAGCTCCGAGAGAAATGATGGTAGGGGACCGGAGAGGAGGTTATGTTGAAGGTAGAGATGAGTTAAGTTCTTGAGATTGGTGAAATCAGAAGGGAACTCTCCGGTGAGTTGGTTCTTTCTGAGGCTGAGAATCTTGAGGGAAGAGAGACGGCTTATGGTGTGAGGTGGAATCAGACCGTTGAATCCGATTCCAGGCAATCTAACGGATGTGATTCGATCTTGGTTTTTGCTGCAAGAAACTCCGGTCCAGGTGTGACAAACCGGAGAGCTCTGGTTCCAACGGTGAAGAGATAGATTGAAAATGGACAAGAACTCAAGCAAAGCTTTCTTGTCGTCTTGGAGAGTCTCAGAGGAAACTAGAGCAAAACAAAGAATCAAAGAGAAGAAGAAGAAGAAAGTTTGCATTGTGAGAAAGTAGATTTTTGTTTCTATGTGTAACAGAGAAATGTTCTTTTGTGCAGATTAAATAAATAAATAGATATTGGATTTTGACAAGATACGCCGGCAGGTTTTAGCCGGCGAAAAATGTTTCTTTTATAAGCAGAGGAAAAAAAAAATTAACGTTGGAACTTGGACGCCATTAACAAGTTTGTGTGACCGTTTCTCTCTGTGATTTAATTTTCTTATGTTTTTGATCGTTTTGAGTATTTATTTCTTTGCTTGAAGCATTTTTCTCACCAACGGCTAATAACGTATGCGCGGTAAAACGTCTCATAGGTAAAAAAAATTCAGAGGCTTGGCTTTTGTACAAGAAAAAATGGTTAAATGTTTGTTCTACATTTTATGGTATTTTCAGATATTGTTTTTTTGAAAATCCTAACTATATGGAAAATATTTTGAGAAGATGTTATCATTAGCTGTTTTTCTGACATGTCTATATAGTTTTGGAAATATATCAAGAAATATTTATTTTATTGATGTAAAACGAGTAACACGTGAGATGGGGATGGTTCTAGTCCCAATCAAATTCAGACAGAACAGCAAAGATGATTTGGCCAGTGTTGTTGACCATATAGTAACTGCTCCTCCCCATATATAAGACAAATAAACGGTTTCAATACTCTCTTCTTCTCCCTATCCAATCAATCAATACTCATTTTTCTCTCCGTCGTTTGGTAGGTGGCTGAAAGTTTCTTCCCCACAGCGAAGATGAATGACGCTGATGTTTCCAGTCAGATCCATCAGATGGTCAGGTTTATCCGCCAGGAAGCTGAAGAAAAGGCCAACGAGATCTCTGTCTCCGCCGAAGAGGTCCCTACTCTCTCGATCTTACTTGTCGTTTGTTGACTGTTGTGTGGACTATTGTCTTTGATCTTCGGATCTTATGATTCATGTTTGATTATAGGCTCTGTGTTGTTATTTCTGATCTGGAGATTTCGTATTGTTTTGGTTTAGATCTAAACCGTGTGGTTAACTATATGTTCTCTTGACGTTTCAGGAATTCAACATTGAGAAGTTGCAGCTCGTTGAAGCAGAGAAGAAGAAGATAAGACAAGAGTATGAGAAGAAGGAGAAGCAAGTCGATGTCAAAAGGAAAATGTAAGATTGCTTTTAATTTAGAGATTATCTAGATCATGGTTTTGTCTTGATCTAATGCCACTTGTTAATTGCGAGTTTGTGTTCTTGTGTTGAAAAAAGTGATTACTCAATGCAACTGAACGCATCGAGGATCAAAGTGCTACAAGCACAAGATGACATTGTCAATGCAATGAAAGAAGAAGCAGCAAAGGAGCTTCTGAAAGTTAGCCAACATGGCTTCTTCAATCATCATCACCATCAGTACAAACATCTCTTGAAACATCTCATTGTTCAGGTCAGACAACAATCTCACACCACATTAATTGTTTTATAAAACTTTTAATTAGTTCTCTAAAAATTGGTTTTTGTTATGCAAACTATTGTAGTGTTTGCTTAGACTGAAAGAGCCTTCAGTGTTGTTGCGTTGTCGTGAAGAAGACCTTCACATGGTGGAGTCAATGCTTGATGATGCTACTGAAGAATATTGCGAGAAAGCAAACGTGCATGCTCCTGAGATCATAGTAGACAAAGACATTTTCCTTCCTCCTGCTCCTTCCAAAGATGATCCTCATGCTCCTTTCTGGTAGATTAATTTCTTCAAACCAAAAGACTAACCAAACTATATAATATACCAAAAAATGACACTACTTGTGATATGTGACAGTGCTGGAGGAGTTGTGTTAGCTTCTCGTGACGGCAAAATCGTGTGTGAAAACACTCTTGATGCAAGATTGGAGGTCGCGTTCCGCAAGAATCTTCCCGAGGTTTGTTTCTTTAGGGTTCTTGAAATCTCATTTTGTCTTTGCAAGAACTCAAGAAAACGTTTGGACTTTGCTATAGGCTTTTGAGATTTTTGTTTGGTTACATTGAATACTGTGTGTAGATCCGAAAGTCGCTCTTTGGGAAGGTAGGTGCAGCTTGATGAGTGGTTCCAACTATTAAACCATGGAAGTGAAAGGCTATGACTCCATTGTCACCATTTAAAATAATTGTTTGTAATGTGTTGTTATGACCATCTGCTTTTGTTAAGACCTCTTGTTGTTATTTATTTGACATATACAGTATGATGGTTTGGTTTGGTTTGGTGAAGTATGTGATAAAAGGCTTTTCTTAGATATGTTTTTTTTTTCCCTGATAAATAAGATCACTTTGATGATCTTTTACAAATAACAAATTTTGGATTAGATGTTTAGAAGGTACAAATGTTTTGTTTTTAGCATTTGTCATAAAATTTTGCAGATTTTGTATTTTTGTCAAAGGTGTTAATTATAATAAAAACAGTTATGTTGGTCATATATCCTTATATTTGATAATAAACTTTAGACTTTCATTTGGGAAAATTTGAAAACAAATCTTCAATTTCTCGGTTTTTACCAAATTATTTTATAAGATAAAAACTCATAAGTCATAACTTTGTACTGATTTGATAAAATTAGTCAAATTTACTATTAGTTTTTAGCCTGAGCATATTTGTCTCATAGAAAAAACTGGTAAATCATTAATTATTTTCCAAATTTTTTTCCCTAAATCTTATTTTTAGGTAATTTTGCTATATAAAGAGTATAAAAGATTTCTATTATTTTTTTAAGAATTCCAATAAACTATTCTAGATTCAATACTTTTATTTTGTAAGAAAAAACAGAAAATGGTATCTAACAAAAAATATTTCTTCTTGGTTCTTTTCTTATGCGTTCTATTATCTTCAGGTGTGATAATTTTTTTTAACATATTTTTTCAGTAAAATAACTTTGCACTAAGATATATA